AATCATGCGGGGATCAGGGTCGGGAAGGGCGGAGGGATCGCGCGAGAGGATCGTGCGGGGATCGCGAAGTTGCGGGACGGCGGGAAATGGGACTGGGTAGGCAGCAGGGGGAAGAGAGGATGGGGGGGGGAAAGAGAAGAGAAGGAAAGAAGAAGAAGAAGAGGAAGAAAGAGAAACGACGACGACAACGAGGAAGAAGAAGAAGAAATGGCGACGACGACGAGGCAGAAGGGAAATCGAGGGGGGATGGGAGAAAGGAGGAGGAGGGGAAAATAAAGGAAAAGTGGATAGAAAAAAAATAACAAAACAAATTTAACAGTACTTACCTGCGCGTTGGCATCAGGAACAATGACGTGGCAGCGACGACGAGGACGAGGCGACAATGACGATGACGTGGCGACGATGACGATGACGAGGCACTGATGAAGACAATGATGACATGGCAATGTCTGCGTCGAAGATGGCAACGACGGGGATGGCGCTGCAACCACGATGACGAAGATGATGATGACGATGAAGGCCTGGAGCGGCAGCTGCTCCGGGTGGGCGGAACGGCGATCGACGCTGCTCCAATACCAGTGTAACAGGGCTGAGGCAGAGCAGCGAGGCGGGGGAAGAGAGAGGGAGAGAGTGAGAGCACACACACACACTCTCTCAAATGGACAGGGACTTGACAGGACTCGACTGACGCAGACACAAAGTGGCAAAGTCACAAAGTCGCCGTCTTGGATTCCGAACACAATGTCGCAGCAAGTCACACTGAAGCACAAGCACTGAGGCCGAAAACTGAGTGCCCGAACTCAGCTTCAGTCCGGTCTTAAGTACCGGACTCAAGTTGAGTCTGAGGGCAGAAGTGCAATTTGCCTCGGGGCTGAACTGAAAGTCGAAGGTCTGAGCCTGGGTGCCAGAATGCTGGATGGTGCCAAGTATCGAAATCCGAAAGTGCCAGAGGAGGGATTTAAGAACGAGCGCCAACTGCAGAGGGCACCAACAGTCAGGAACCGGAGATCAGAGACTCAAAAATAAAATAGCAGCTTGGTGGGTGGTAACCCGCAGACCAGGGATCGAGCCCTGGCTGAGTCCGTAACAGGGCCTGTCAATTTCCATTATCGGTCTGGACGAGGCCACTCTGAGAATTTGGGGGGCGCCAGACAGTTATCAGACGCCAGTTGGTTGTGCACGTAATGTTGGGTTCTTGTGAGCGTGACGCCCAAAGCCACACAGTTGACTGAACCTAACTGTCAGTACCAGGCCCTGGAAACAGCTTGAAACTGGGCCTGCACGCTGGATACTTGGGCCGCACACATTGAACCCAACCGGGACCGGTCTAGGCCGCACTCCGCAGCATATAGACAAGGCAGGGCTGACTGGAGGGCATTCGGGCTGCTGGCAGTCAATGCGGTCACGCTGCTGAGTCGCACACTGGCTGGCTAGCGCTCGCACGCGCGTGCGGTAGAGGTGGGTGAGCGGCTGCTGTGGTAGCTGCTGGGTGAGAGGGGAGGCAGGCGCCATAGCCAGGCGCTCTGCCCAACACTGATGGTGGTGGTTGTGGTGGACCTTCAGCGGTAGTGAGCTGTGGGAAGTCGAGGGATGAAGAAGAGAGTGAGAGGGAAAGATTGAGGTCATTGGGAGGCGTGTGGAGGTCCGCATTTGGGCGACATTCTTCATGTGCTCCGACGTCAGTGCTGATTTGGCTGGTTGTCGTCAACGTAGATAGGCTAAGAGTAGATGCGCTAGGAGTAGGCTGGGCGCTGTGCGCCAGATGGGAGTATAACTCTGACGTGTTGCTGATGATGGCAAAGGGCTACATTGTTGATACTGTTCATCGTTGTACTGTACACTGATGATCTCAAGTGCATTTCTGCTCGCTGGTTCTTTATGACACACTTGGCTATTTTCGTGTGATTGCAACTTGGATTTCTGCTTCTCGCTTTCAATCATTGTCCTTGCATTGTTATAAGTTGAGTGGAAAAAAAAAAAAATCTCTTAAATTGCCAATTGGACCAAGAGAGGGAATCATAGCAGGTTAACCATACAACAATTTTTAGTTTTTTGAGCTTTTCCCTGTGCTGCTGCTTTTTCTTTCTCTTTTTCTTTTTCACAGAACAGGTCCTTATGGCCCTGGGTCCTTTCTATTCCTGGGGAGCATCTGCCAGCTTCCTTTTCTCCAGGCAAGCCATAGGAATTACATGAAATATGAAACGGTTTTCACCTCTTTGCAGTAGCAGATGCAGATCCCAGGGCTCGATCCCTAGACCTTGCCCTACCTGTGTATAGTACCTGTGTAGACTGTGAGAGTTGAACCTGTGACCTGTGTATTCGTAAACAGTTGGTAGGCTGTCATAGGTCCGTAGGAAGCAGGGGTTCGATCTGTAGAACTGTAGAATAGAAGTCTTAGCGAGTTCCAGAAGTCTTAGCTGTAGCCCTTCTAGAAGGTCAGCAAGTGGGCAAGTGGGCAAGTGGTGAGTCAAGTGGTGGGCTAACTGCAGTGCAATTGCAGTACGACCTCGGTAGGTTAGCAGTGAGTCCCCACTCAGTCAGCAGTAAGGTCCAGTCAGTCCCAGTCCGGTCCAGCAGGTACCACATGGGACTGTGAGCACCATGGGCCGGTGGAAAAGGGCAGACCAACGGGTTTCAGAAGTATAAATCAAGAGGCAGCGCCCAGCCATTCATTCATTCCTGCGTGAGCCATGCGGAAGCGCTGCCACAGCGACTTGTGCAAGGAGGTCTGCAGTGAGCCCGGCGCTGAACTGGGCGAGAGAGAAGGAGCGTAGCATAGCGATAGGGTAGAGGCAGACATAGCCGCCATAGCTAGAGTTAGTGTGTAGCGAGTGTGTGTCTGTGTGTGAGTTCAGAGAGTCGCGTGTGGGATATCCAGGGTGATCCGGTGTATGTGAACAGTGAGTTGTTTGGGCGCTGAGTCGCCATAGCCAATTGAAAGTGAACTCGTATATGGATGCCATATCTCTGAGTTTTGAGTGGGCGCATGTCGCCAGTTTGCTGCGCTACTGTTTACATCCATGAAAAGTGTGAATGAAAGCGAGTCTGATTGCATTGGTATCGGAGCTGGTACCCGCTATTCCACGCGTCGAGTTGTGTGTCGCAGCGGACCTGAAGGTTGGAGAAGCCGCCGCGCACCTGCAGAGAAGACCACGACGAAGAAGAGAGAGAGAGAGAGAGAGAGAGAGAGAGAGAGAGAGAGAGAGAGAGAGA